TTCAGTGTTCACAGTAAACAAAGCCAACCCTAGCAATCTTAGGTGACTGGTGAGGTCTGCATTAGAAAGCAGTGGGCATCTTTCCTGGCTCAGTCGGTGATGTAATGAGAGCATTGCAATATGAGGCCACAGAGGGAGAAGAGTACATCAAGACCTCATTTTCATTGATTTTTCTCCACAGACCATTTACTCTGTAGCAGTGCTTCTCAAATTAAAATGCACCTGCAAATCACCTGGGGCTCTTGTCAAACTGCAGATTCTGATTCAGTAAGTGTAGGATGAGGTCTGAGATTCTGCATTACTAACAAGCTCTCAGGTGATGCAGATGCTAGGCCACACACTGAGAACAAATTTTGTATTCCAGTGCTGTTGAGTCAATATTGAGTCTGGGAGACCCAATCATTGCAGAGTGGAACTGCATTTTCTAAAGGTTCCTGGCCCTGACCTTTCAAAAGCAGCTCTTTCCTCTGAGGCACTTTTGGGTGGGTGCAAACAGCCAGTCTTTCAGTTAGTAGCCAAGTGCTTTACCATTTGCATTACTTGGGCTCCAAATGCAGTATAAATGCCACTTACTTGTAGTGCTGAGGATATGACTACTTAGAACCTGAAAGGGAAACTTTGTATGTCTGAAAACTGCCTTATGGAGTTACTTTGAAACATTCCTTGAGTAGAATCCAGGCTTTCCCTACCCTTCCATTGATCTGGAGCAACACAGAACATGCTACAATGGGTATTAGTCTTTGATTCCTTAAGATGTATTATGACTAACTCAAATGACCTGTTGAAAATACTCTTTCAGCATTATGAAAAGAAACACACTTATTTATAATATTGCAGCAAGGGCAACTTGATTGTTATCATGAATAGGAATGTAAGATTTGTTTGATGAGAGTAAGCTGAGACAACTAAAGAGCTCTTTGATAAGTTTTTGAATTTTTTTCTCTGCTGATACTTGGCACTAAAAGGATTCTCACTGTTTCAGGGGTTTGATAAGTCATTCATTTGGGAATTAAACAATTTTTAGATAACCCACTTTTTTTTAATGTGTTAAAACTGATTTTATCTTCTCTCTTGTCAAATCTTTGTTTTATGCTTTCTCTGGAAAGAAAGTTGAACTCTTATGGCAAGGGGGGAAGGAGAAAGGAATCCTTACTTACTGAGCACCAGCTGTTGATTACCTGGCACTGTTCAGGTAAATTATATTATTGTAGATTATGTGATCTCCATTAACAACTCTTCACAATGAGGGCAGTTGTAATTCTATGATAGAACTTTTTGCCTTCCATTTGCGAAACTCACATTTGATTTCTGACCAGTGCACCTTTTGAACAGCCACCCCAGCTTTGTCATTGGAGGCTAACATGTTACTATGATGTTGCACAGGTTTCAGTGGAGCTGCTAGACTAAGACAGATTAGCAAGAAAGGCATGGTGGGTCTATCTCCAAAAAACTGACCAGTGAGAACACTATGATAATCATGATGGTCTGCTCTGCATTTGTTCATGGGGCTGGTACAGTGTTTTTTGTTCTGTTGTGCACAAATGGGCTTGTGAGTTGGGAGTGACTCTAGCAGCTAACAATAACAACACTATGGAAAAATTGTTGTTGTGGTTAGGTGCTGTCGAGTTGGTTGGTTCTGACTCATAACGACCCCATGTGCAACAGAACAAAACACTGCCAGGTCTTGTGCCATCATTACAGTCATTGTTATGCTACAGCCTTATTGCTGCAGCTATGGTGTCAGTTCATCTCATTGAGGGTCTTTCTCTTTTTCATTGACCTGTGGGGCAATCTACTTCCATAGTGATACTGCCTCGAAAACCTAAGGGGGGGGTCGCCATGAGTCGGGTCCGACTCAAGGGCACATAATGACAACAACAACAACTACTACTTTACCAAGCATAATATTCTATACTAGGGACTGGTACCTCCTGATAGGACTAAAGTACAAGGGATGAAGTCTTTCCATCCTTGGTTCTAAGAGGCATTCCAGCTGTACTTCCAACACAGATTTGTTCATTTTTCTGGCAGCCCATGGTATATTTTTTATTCTTTGCCAACACCATAATTCAAAGGCATCAGTTCTTCTTTGATTTTCTTATTCATTGTCCAACTTTCACATGTATATGAGGCAATTGAAAATACCATGGCTTGGGTCAGGCACACCTTAGTCCTAAAAGTGATATCTTAGCTGTTTAATACTCGAAAGAGGTCTTTTGCAGCATATTTGCCCAGTGCAATATGTAGTTTGATTTCTTGATTACTGTTATGGGCATTGATTATGGATCCAAATAAAATGAAATCCTTGACAACTTCAGTCTTTTTTCCATTTATCATGATGCTGCTTATTGCTCCAGTTGTGAGAATTTTTCTTTTCTTTGTGTTGAGGCGTAATCCATAGTGAAATAGGTACTATTTTTTCCTACTTTAAGGTGAAGACACTGAGGTTCAAGAAAGAATTAAGTAACTCATCTAAGAGCTTACTGGCCAGTCACAGATAAAGGACCAGAACTTCTTGACTCTGTAGAGTCTGTATTTTGCACTGAATCAGCAATTACCCAGCTGTCTTTGGGCTTAACTATAATTCCCCTTTGTAGAAGATGGATGGAGGAGTCTCCTGAGTGACATGAAAGGTTAAGCACTGGGCCACTAACCTAAAAGTCGGCAGTTCAAATCCACCTACAGATGCCTCAGAGAGTAGGCTTAACAGTCTGCTTCTGAAAGGTCACAGCCATGAAAACTCTATGGAGCTCAGTTCTGTTCTCAAACACTTGGGGGTTACTGTGAGTCAGAATCAGCTTGATGGTAATGGGTTTTGTTAGGAAGGGGAAAGGGTGAGGAGGTGTGGAGGGTCCCTCATCTAGAACATCTTCATGGATATTGGACATCATTTAAAAGAAAGGATTCTTAGGTTAAAACAAAACAGTTAAATATTTTTGTATGTGAAGATGCCACCATTATTATTCTGTAGGATTTAGTTAATAGTTTTAGAATAGATACTGATCTCAAACATATTTTCCAAATGTATGAGACTATAGTAAGAAAATAGCTAATGTTTCACCAGTTATTCCCATATAACAATCTTAACTGTTGAACCTACTAGAAGATAATTCCTAGAACCATGGAGTGATCAATAAGAAGTGAATGCTACAGCCCTGCCTACGGTGTTATACCGGATGAGCTCTCCCTTCTCTTAAGTGTTTATGTATATCTTATCTATATGCAGAAAATGAAATAGTAACCAACATCCTTAGGATTTTTCTATTACTAGTAATTTTTATTTTCTTATTTGTGTGTTCCCCTCCCCCCCGATAAATATTCTGTTTTTGTAGTCAGGTCAAAAAATATTACTTTAGGAAAGATCATAAAGTTTAGATACTTGCATGACTTTTATAGTACTGTCCTCCGGTTTTGAGGAGCCTGTGTTCTGATTACCTAGTGCTGCTCTCACAAGAATATACCATAAATAGGGTCACTTTCACAAACAGGAGTTTATTCTCATAGTTCGGAGGTTTTAAGTCCAAGTTCAAAGTGCCAGACTCTGGGGCTGGGTGAAAGCCCCTCGATCTTGGGCTTCAGCTCTGCCTCTTGTTCCCGGCCCACTGAAGCTAGAGGCATCTCTTTACTCAGGCAGCTACTGGCTACTGAGGCTGACAAGGCCAAGGTCCACAAATAAAATGACACAGTCCTGATGTCACCAAACCACATGGCAGGCCATTAATTCAAGTCCATTGAAAGTCCCAAGGTCAGCAGAGCATGGCAGGCTACTGAACAATGACATGGCTACATGCAGGGTTCAAGGTGCCATAAGCTAGAGACTATCCTCAAGGCTTCTCCTTATATACAGGAAGCAGACCACATCCCAAAGGCAGCTACTCAGCTGCTTGTGGTAGATCCCACCATGGAGTTGATTGCCATTCTCATCATGGGGAATAACTACCACCAGCTGCCCAGCTACTCAACCATGCCAAGCCAAGTTGACATACAAATTTAACTACCACCGCATGTTTACATGACCAGAATTGTTATTGTTTATTTTTATCATTAATTTGAAAACAATGTAAGCTTGTGTGAGTCTCTTCTTTTTCTCTGGAAATACAATAAAAATTGATCTGTACCATCAGTCTTAATCTTCAATCTTAAACATGCTGCAATCAGAACTTCTAAGACCCAACACATGCTATTACCTCCTTTCATGTTTGACTTACTATTTGTGGACATAAGAACAGCTCCAAGTAGCACCTTAGCAAATTGTGTTCATCTTGGTTTAATAGGTGTATTTGTCTTGAAATGAATAATTAAGAAGGTAGTATAAATATTTTAAAGACTGACTCTTTCGGTTTTAATGAATTGTCCACATCTCAGAAAATGGACTTAGAGATTTAATGACAATGTTTGTATATAATTTTATTTTGGGGGCATTTATATGAACACTGGAAGGTATATATTCCTTTCTATGTCAAAAAATAAATAAGGACACTCAAATTATGTAACAAATGTTAAGTGCCTGCTGTGTGCCAGGTACTGTGCTGCATACAACCTTTTAACAGTTTGTTGTGATGTCATAGAAATATGAAAATATTTTATATCTAGCTTTGATTAGATCTCAGTTGTAGAGAGAAAATATGGAATTTACTTTATATATGTGCATTGACACAGTACAAGCAAGACAGAAAGTGCAGAGACAGTTTAGCTCCTAGCTAACTTCTTCCCCCATCTGAAAATGGAGGTGTCAACCATGAGGCATTCAGAAGTTTCCCCAACCTCAAGGACAAACTTACAGTAGACGATTTGGGAACATTTAACCTCGTACTATTGCTCTGTATTACTGCTTTGACCCAAAGCAAGCTTCACAGTAGCTCCAAATTTAGTGATCTGAGTTTTAGAGTACAAAATACTGCAGATGACAATATATAAGATGATAAAGCAGATGAATTTATATTTAGTGAATAAGAAAAAGTAGAGGAATGGTTTACTAATTGAAGTTGAAATTTTCACAGGCTTTATTTCAAGCTGGGGAACTCAAATGGGGGACAGATGAAGAAAAGTTTATCACCATCTTTGGAACACGAAGTGTGTCTCATTTGAGAAGGGGTGAGTGAAAAAGTGTATATGGAACAGATGGTTTAGTTAATTTTGAAAGTACATGAACCAGCATGCCAGAATAGTTACATAGCATGTGCTTATCGAATGAATGATTTTTTTTCTTCTTACTTTTGGCCACCCTGAGAAATATTGTAATTCTTTTTGTTGCTATTGTAGATTTTACAAAACTAGAGGTTCTCAGTCTATCTTTCACTCTCTGAACATAGTGAGGGTGATCAGGCCTCTAGATTGTTTCTTTTATGGTCATAGGCCACTGGATAATGCCATGCTACAAGTATTTTTTCTTGGACAGTGGTAGCCAAGACCTCATCCTTGGATTTGCACCAGTGCTTGTGCTATTAGTTGGGAATGAGTTTAGTGGCGAATGACAGAAGGCCTTACTAAGAGTGACTTTAAAAATGGGGTTTATGTCTCTCCATTAGATTCCATGTCTGATTTGTCAGGTTCTGGGCTCTTTCTGTTTTTTTGCTTCTCTGTCTGTGCTGCTGTTGTTAGGTGCCACGGAGTTGGCTCTGACTCATAGTGACCCTATGTACAACAGAACAAAACACTGCCCTATCCTTCACCATCCTCACAGTTCTTGCTGTGCTGGAGCCCATCGTTGTAGCCACTGTGTCAGTCCATCTCATTGAGGGTCTTGCCCTTCTTCACTGACCCTCTACCTTATGAAGCATGATACCCTTCTCCAGGGGATGGTTCTTTCTCACAACAGGAGCAAAGTAGGTGAGACAAAGTGAGACTTCATCTCACCACTGTCCTTAGTGTTTGGATTTTCTTCCTTGTGCTTCTTGCTTCACCATCACCATATGGCTGCTGTAGCTCCAGACCATTTCCACAGCATAAAGAAAGAGAAGAGGTTAACTAGTCATACCTATCTGTCACTTTTTATCAAGAAAGAAAAATAGTTCTCTGGATGCCCTCTAGCAGATTTTCCTTGAGGTCTTAGTGGCTGTAACTAGTCAGGGGGGCAGGGCTAGGAAAGCAGTGAATGTAGAACCCTCATGATCTATTGCTTGTGCTTGGGACATTGAGGCTCTGAACACAGTGAGGGTTCTGTTAGTGAGGAAGAAGGGGAGATTTGTGTTGTGACCAGGATAACACCTGGTCAGAGTAAATAAATATCTTCTTTCAGGAAAGAGTGATCTTTATGTGATTAAGATATCACCTTCATTTTTTTTTTTTTTTCTAGTGTTTGACAAATACATGACTATATCAGGATTTCAGATTGAGGAAACCATTGACCGGGAGACTTCTGGTAATTTGGAACAACTACTCCTTGCTGTTGGTAGGTAATTTTATAATGTATGTAATATTTATGGTAATAAGAACTAAAGTATTTTATTCATTTGAGGTTTATCTGAAAATAATTATTCATTTCCTAATTAAAAGAAGAGCTTGACAGGGTATTTTGGTGAACCAGAGCTCCTGGACATTATCTTAGACATTTGTAAATGTTATTCCTGATACTTGTGGAATTGACAATTCTTTTGAACAGTATACACTCAACTTTGAGTCTGACTGAGAAATTGGATTTTGGTTTAGAAAAAGATCATTTTTGATGTAATAGATTATGTAGTGATAGTTGTTTTCACGTACAATAATTTGGTATTTTATTTTAGCTTTGTATTCAGAATCATCTGGAAAAATGGGAGGACTGAGTTTGTGTAGGTCATTGCAGAATTTTGTATTGTCCAGATATAGAGAGACTGTAGTTTGTGAGTTCTTAGTGGTCCTAGTTTTCATATGGATGTGGGGTGAACCTCTGTTTTATGGCAGTGTTTGTTCAAAGTATTGATAGGCTAAAGTTTCTGTCTTCTGGAGAAAAAGCTAAAGATGTACATGAACCAATACTGAAAGAACCTTTTGTTTGAGTCTGCAGTTAATTAACTTTTACAGAAAACTTTTAGACAACTTCTTGATAATTAGAATACCCATCAAAATTATCATATATATTAGTTACTGGTGGCTGTTTTTCTTAAGCACCAGAAAATGGGAAATCAAAAACCACCATAATTCAAGGATTGTTATTTTTTCATATTAAGGAATTTTTATGTGATGGGTTTTCTGAAGGTAAACAGACTGAGGATTAAGCAGCCCTAGTCTATAGCCCTAGTCTAAGGAGCTCTGGTGGTATAGTGGTTAAGGCATTTAGCTGCTAACCAAAAGGTATATGGTTTGAACTTCCCAGCTGTTCCACAGAAGAAATATGAGGCAGTCTATTTCTATAAAGATTTACAGCCTTGGAAACTCAATAGGGATCACTATGAGTCAGAATTGACTTGATGGTAGTAAGTTTTTGAGTCTGTAGTAAACATGCACATGTTCAGAAATTATATGCTTTCTTGTATTAGTTTATTTACTGAAATGGATAAGTCTCATGCTGCTCTGTATAAATCATGGATATTAAAGAGTACCTAGATTAAGATTATAGAAAGATAGTCCAAGATTTGTCAAACATTAGAACTGGCTCATCTAGCCTAAGATGAGAAGAACTAGATGGTGCCTGCCTACCACTATCAACAGTTCTGACCAGGGTCACAATAGAAGGTCCTGGATAGAATGGGAGAAAAATGTAGAACAAAACTCAAATTCCTCAAAAGGCCAGACTTACTGGAGACTAGAGAAACCCCTGAGACTACTGCCCTAAGATACTCTTTGAACTTGGAAACTGAAACTCTCCCAGAAGTTACCTTTCATCCAAATAATAGATTGGCTTATAAAATAAACAGTATCACTTGTGGCCAAATTTACCCTAAAGCAAAGTTGAGAAGGTCAAAAGGGGTAGAGAAGCTAGATTACCATATTTTTTGCATATAAAGCACCTGCGTAAGTAACATAATGTGCATGGTGCTCATAGGAAGCTAATGGGTATGTGTGTGTGGTTTGCATTAAAATATGCAATGGAAACAGAACAAACATAATGGAAATAATGAGAATGTTGGCGCATTGGGAAAAAATGTAACCAGTGTCACTGAACAATTTATATAAAAATTGTTAAATGGGAACTTAATTTGCTTTGTAAACTTTCACTTAAAACACAGTAAAATACTATTTTTTAAAAAAGATTAGAGTACTAATCTTGTATCATTTACTTGAGTGCCTTGGAATGAAAGCCTCCAAGGTGTTTGTATAATTTATTGGATATGCTATCAGGAGGGATCAGTCCCTGGAGAAGGACCTCATACTTGGTAAAGTGGAGGGTCGGCAAAAAAGAGGAAGATCCTCAAGGAGATAGATTGACATAGTAGCTGCAACAATGCGTCCAACACAGCAGTGCTTGTGAAGATGGTGCAGACCCAGGCAGTGTTTCTTTTTGTTGTATATAAGGTCTCTGTGAGTTGGAACCCACTCGATGACACCTAACAACAACAGCAGCACTAAGGTTGTGGAATTAATTACTCCTGGTGCCCAAACTGCTGTATCAAAAAAGTGCTAATAAAACAAAGAGGCATATAAAAATCTTGGGTCCCTATCTGCTTTCCACCATTGCTGTTAGGTGCTGTCCAGTTGGTTCCAACTCATAGCAACCCTCTGTACAACAGAACGAAACACTACTTGGCTCCGTGTCAGCCTCACAGTTGTTGCTGTGCTTGAGTTCATGTTGCAGCCACTGTGATAGTTCACCTTCTTAAGGGTTTTCCTTGATTATTGCTGACGCTCTACTTTACTAAGCATGATACCCTTCTCCAGGGACTTGTCCCTCCTGTTAACATAACCAAAGTACAAGAACTCATGTCTAAGGAGCATTCTGGCCATACTTACGACACAGATTTGTTCATTCTTCTGGATTTCTAAATATAAAGAGAGGTTCTGTTACCCAGAAGTCTCTGGGTGATGCAAACAGTTAATGTGCTTGGCTGCTGACTGAAAGTATATTCCATATTCTTCACCAGCACCATAATTCAAATGCACCAATTCTTTGCTCTTCCTTATTCATTGTTCAGTTTTCACATGCATATCAGGCTATTAAAAATACCATGTCGGGTCAGGCACAAGGATCAGGCACATAAGCCTTTCTGTGTAACTCAGAACTCCAAGGAAAATTCAAGTCAGTATCTAACATAATACTTGGTGGGTGAGGAGATCAGACTAGCTTGCAAATGAGCAGTGCCTTCATCTGTTGCTTTTATAGAAGTACAGTGATAGGAATGAGATAGCTATTTATTTTTAATTACTTCATCCTTTTCATATCAGAATAACCTCTGACCATTATATTATTTCTTTGCTTAGTGAAATCTATTCGAAGTATACCTGCCTACCTTGCAGAAACCCTCTACTATGCTATGAAGGTAAGTGGATGTGTTGAGTGTTCTCTTTTGTGTTGCTGGGTCTTATTATCTGACCTAGGAAGGTTGGGCAATCCTACTTCCGTAGTGATACTGCCTCGGAAACCCAAGGAGGGGTTGCTATGAGTGGGGTTTGACTCGACGGCACATAACAACAACAACAACAGTTATTGCTTGATCATGTTTTAGATGATAGATATTTTAGATGATGGACAGATATTTTAGATTTTTTTTTCTTTTTAATTTAAAACATGTAGCTCAGTTCTACTCAGTTGTTTTACTTTATTGATTCACCTCCCAAGTCAGGGGAGTTTGATGCTGTAACTGAAGTTTTTAAATAATGTGCCTTTCTCTCTTTTTCTTATTTTTTTGTTTTTAAAGGGAGCTGGAACAGATGACCATACCCTCATCAGAGTTGTGGTTTCCAGGAGTGAGATTGATCTGTTTAACATAAGAAAGGAGTTTAGGAAGAATTTTGCCACCTCCCTTTATTCCATGATTAAGGTAACAGGAAAAAAAAAAGACAATTGCTGTCCAATTGATTTGCAATGCATGGTGATTTTGTGTGTGTCAGACTAGAACTGTACTCCATATGGTTTTCAGTGGCTGATTTTTAAGGAGATTGCCAGGCCTTTTTTCCACAGTGCTTCTGGGTGGATGCAAACTGTCATACTTTCAGTGAGCAGCCAAGTACATTAACTGTTTGCATCACCCAGAGACTCCTGGGTAATATAGCCTTTCTTTATGTTTAGAAATCCAAAGCAAACCATTATATAACTTGCAAGACATGGGTGGAAGAACCCAATTCTTGTGTTAAGTTTAAAATTTTAATGATACGATTAGAGCTATTTGTTATAAAGCTTGGATCATATTTTCTCAAGTTGGGTAGGGGTGATGGCTCCCAAGTGAGAGCTAGGACATTGGCCTTATTTAGTAGTGATGACAGATGGTTCAGCTAAATCAACCCCTTGCCCGTGATAATGATGTGTTTGTTTTTTCTTTCTTGTCAGTTCCAGCTGTCTTTATTAGTTTCTCCTTTCTTTCATATCAGTTTTTCATTGCTTTATTGTCTTTTATCGCCTTGCCTTTGGTATTTGTTCTTAGATCAGGAAAGAACCAAATAGGTCATATCTGGAATAAAGGGGAAGAGCTTAGATATCACTATCATTTTTGTTCTTTCAAAAGCAAGGCCTATAATTAAATTTGGCTTAAGGCCTGGTAATATTTTTGTTTTTTGATAAAGGGTAATGTGGTTCATGTTCAAAACAGGATCTCAAGCAATTTTTAACTTTAGTGTGGCTGGGCTGATACATATTAGATAGAGAGTTCACCCAGGTACTTTAAAACTTGAAACATTAATTTATGTGCACGTCTGTCTGTGAGGCAAGTTGAGGCAAAGCATGTCCTTTGAGGCAAAGCCATCACAGTCAGGTAGCACCAGCATTGCCTGCCTTCCAAGGAAACCCATTGCCATCAAGTTGATTCAGGCACATGGACCATATAGGACATAGTTGAACTGCTCCATAGGGTTTCCAAAGCTATCTTTATAGAATTAGACAGCTACATCTTTCTCTCATGGAGCAGCTTGCTTAACCACTGTGCCACCAGGGTTTCATTCCCACCCCCCTCCCTTAGCCAGGTACAAACTATGTGTTAGAAATTTATGGGTTATTTATAAAGCTTCAATTTAATATAGTTGTTAGGAGTGAGGACAGGTTCTTTACCCTGTTCTCTATCTTATTACAGAATTATGGAAGAACATACCTCACAGCCTTTGAGAGAACCGTGTCTTTAAGTTAGAAAGTTGAATATAAGTTCCATTGATAGGAAACCCCCTGCATAACATTCTTGATGTGAAACTCACACACACAGAGATTACCCACTGGGACAAAAAAAATACATGAATAAAATTTTTTGCCATAGTAATAAAATGTGTTGTTTTCTGTGGCTTCTGTGACTCATGGGGGTTAACGGAGTACATTTGGGTTTCAGAGCGATACATCTGGGGACTATAAGAAAGCTCTCCTGTTGCTCTGTGGAGGAGAAGATGACTAATGTGCCTCCTGGTGAGATCCTGCTCTGTGCCTGCCACCGCTGCCGCCACTACTGTCCTCCAGAACATCTAGCGACTTTTATGTGCTAGTGCCTGACACGTTGCCTTATTCATACTAGCATGCTAATAACCAAAATGCACATATTGTAAAAGTGAATCCTTAATGCTTCTTTTTGATCTTCACTTGAGATCTTTCTCTCTCTGACTGTTAAGTATTGAAGTGTACTTATATTACATTAAGTCTAGAGTCTGGGCCATTTATGTTTCCCTTTAAGAGGTCAGACTGCTCTTAGCTTTTTTGTAAAACTTCATTTATATTAAACTGATAACCTTATTATTTAATCGGAAACTTAGCCTTGAAATTGTGAACTCCTGGAAGTGTTATTAATCAAGTGTGCTACTAAGTGAAGCCTGCAAAATTATGGTAGTTGCATTCAAAAGATTAAAGAAAAATAAACATTTCCTTTCCCCTGAGTTATGTTTGTGTATCTGTGTTGAGAGTATTTATTTAACAGTGATAATATCTTTTCTCAAGCCCATCAGTTGACAGTGGTGTTAGTTGGGAACTGAAAGTGCAGTTGGCTTCTTGAGTGATAGACTTGAAATGCAACCTCCTAAGAGTTTCTTTCCTCCACAGTGTGGAAGGAGGTTGAAGGCAGATCTGTAAATTACCTGCAGCATGTTTATTCAGTTAAGTTGATGCTTGTGGTGCTAGTTGTTAATTTAACCTAAAATTTCAGAGCACTACCTTCCTGTTTCCTATTATAAACTTGTTTTCCTATTCCCCATCTGCTACGTTCTTTGAGATAAAAAAGCAGGCAATATATTTTAGAAGGGAGCAGTTTCTTTATCTCTTCTAATATTTACCTTCCAGTTTTCTTTTGGCTTCAGCCTCTTCAGTTGGTATAATGCTTACAACCTTATAGACATTTTTAAAAATCAAAGCGATAGAGTGATTATCATTGATAAGGCATTTTTTTATAAAATGGATTCTTCTCCCTTTGAAAACCTTAAAATAATGATAATGTTCTTTTCTTAAAATTGGCTGCTGCTCAGAATAACTAGGGAAGCCTTAAAAATTATGTGTAAATATGACATTGGATTTTTTTCAAAAACCCCGAAGGCAATTCTGATGTAGAGCCAGATTGAGCATCAATTATCTTTCATAGAAAAGATCTTAAATGGTATGTTTCAAAGAGTTCTTTTTTTTCTTATTTTATTTAGTAGCTCACTGATATATGAGCCCCGGATTATTTATAGTGGCTAAAGCACTTGACTGCTAACCAGAAGGCTGGCGGTTCAAACCCACCAGCCACTCCTCGGAAGGAAGGTTGGGCAATCCTACTTCCGTAGTGATACTGCCTCGGAAACCCAAGAAGGGGTCGCTATGAGTCGGGGCCAACTCGATGGCACATAACAACAACAACAGCAACTTGCTTCAAAAGAAATTAACTAGTGAACATTGAAATCTGCTATATTTAATCAGTTTGTGAGCCTTTGTTAGCTCTTGCTATGAATTTGTGATACCTGTTTTTGTTTGTTTGTTTGTTTTACTGGAACTGAATAAGCTCATTCTAAATTTGATATTAAAAAGGGATAGTAAAATTCTAAAAATGGGAAACAAGGGTGTACTAATCTCCACACATGTCAGAATAGACTTTGAAGCTTGAATAGTTTAACAGTGGTATGGTGCATCAACAGACACAAATGGATAAAACAGCCCGTCCAGATATGGGACCAAAAACATTTCAAAATTTAGTGTTGAATAGAGATAGGTCCTAATATGCTGTGTAAATATGGAATTCTATTTTAAAATAAGTGATGTGAGGACAACTGAGCAGCCCATATACTAGAATAATCTCAAAATGGCTCAAAGACTTAAACATGAAAAATAAATCATGAGCATAGTAGAAAAACCATAGGGGGATTTCTTTATAACTGCATCTATTGGGTTCTCTGAGAAACAGATGCTTAGCTCGTTAGAATGCAAATGGTTTGTTGAAGGAAAAGGAAAAGGAAGGAAACGATGTAGGTAGACTTGACTGGTTCTCTGCCAGTCTAACATGGACCTCTGGGGCACTTTCCTGGCAAGAGTCCTGTGTTACATGGAAATGACAGCCCTTATGTCACCACCTTGCTCAGTTATTGGCAAGGTGCCTACTGGAGAAGAGCTTGGTTGAGCAGAAAAACATACACCAGTGTTCATTGTACACCAGTGTTTGTTGCAGCACTTTTCACAATAGCCAACAGGTGGAAACAACCTAAATGTCCATCAACGGATGAATGGGTAAAAGTATGGTGGTTGTTGTTATATGCCGTCGAGTCGGCCCCGACTCATAGCGACTCCTCCTTGGGTTTCCGAGGCAGTATCACTACGGAAGTAGGATTGCCCAACCTTCCTTCCGAGGAGTGGCTGGTGGGTTTGAACCGCCAGCCTTCTGGCTAGCAGTCAAGTGCCTTAGGCACTATGCTACTAGAGCTCCTAAAAGTATGGTACATACATACATACAATGGGATACTGCTCAGCCATAAAGGGTAATGAAGTCCTGATCCATAGTGCAATGTATAAATCTTGAAAACATGTTGTATGAAATGAGTCAATTGCAAAACGACATATATGATCCCCTTTATATGAAATTCAAAGGAACACTTGTGGTGTGGTTAAGGCCCTTGGCTGGTAACCACAAGGTCAGTGGTTTGAGCCCACTAGCCACTCCGTGGAAGAAACATGAGGCAGTCTGCTTCTGTAAATATTTAGTCTTGGAAACCAAGTGAGGGTCACTATGAGTCCGAATCGACTTGATGGTAGTGACTTTAGTTTGATTTTTGGTAATTTGAAATTCTAGAAAAGGCAAATGTAAAGAGACTAAAGTCTGTTAGTGATTATCAAGAGTGGGAGGGTGAAGGAAAGAGGAAGTCATTGCTTAAATGGCACTGAATTTCTGTTAAAGATGCTGGAAAATTTTAGAGATGGATAGTGGTGATTGTTGGACAACATGAATGTTATTACTGTAACTGAGTCATACATGTAAAAAAGGCTGAAATGATAAATTGTTTTACATACCCACCCATATACATATCCATACTCACACACACTTATATACATTATATAAATATATATTCACCACAATTAAAAATAAAAAGCTGAGGCAGACCCTGAAGTAGCTAACAACATCACTAACTCCTCAAAGCTTTTCTTAAAGGGGCACCTGTATGGTCCTTTCCCGTATCTGCCATAATAACCTTGAAGTGGGAGGGGTTCCTAGCTACCACACCAAATCCAGAAGTCATAAAACAAAAGATGAAGATGATTAAGAAGCCATTAAAGGAAAAACTGTTTTCAGCTACCTAAAAATCAAAACCAGCCACTTCTCGGAAAGAAGGTTGGGCAATCTACTTCCATAGGGATACTGCCTTGGAAACCCAAGGAGGGGTCACTATGAATTGGGTCTGACTCGACGGCACATAACAACAACAACAAAAATCAAAACCTTTGCATGACCAAGGGAGGAAAGGAGGGAAGAAGGAAGGAAAATAACGGCATAGTGCATAAGGCATTTGCTAACCAGAAGGCTGACAGTTCAAACCCACCAACTACTTGGAAGGAAGACTGGGCAATCTATTTCATAGAGTCTCTGTCTTGGAAACCCAAGGAGGGGTCACTATGAGTTGGAGTTGACACAATGGCAGTGAGTTTGGTTTTTTGGACCACTCCACAAAAATTCAAAAGACAAAACCTGGAAAAGTATCTGCAACTCCTACAAAGAGCTCCATAACATATAAATAATACTTAGAAAGCAGTGAAGCAAAACCAGTAATCCAGTTAAAAAAAAAAAAGACAAAAATATAAACAAACAGTTCACAGAAGAAACAAAAGTACAAATGGTCCTTAAAAGTATGAGGAACTGCTCAGCCTCACAGAATAGGGGAAATGCACATTCAAATTACATGAAAATATCTTTTTTTATACATACTAAATTGGCAAAAATCTGAAAGTTGGACATTGCGTGTTAGCAAGTGGTGAACCAGGGACTCTGATATGTGAGATTACCCTCTGGTGGGTAATTGGTAGTATTTATCAAAATGATGAATGTATTTGCCCTTTGATCTTGTAATAGCACCTCTGGGAATTTATGCTTTCTGTCTCCTACACATTTATGAACTGATGTGTACACAAGGTTATTATTGTGATATTATATGTTATAATATGAGACTGGAAAGAACCCAAGTCTTATAATAACGTTAAATAGACTTGTTTTTGTGTGTTGTCGAGTCAATTCCAACTCAGTAACTCTTTAGAATAGTGAAGAACTCACTGGGTTTCCAAGGTTGTGATCTTTACGGGAGAGGATTGCCAGATCTTTTCTCCAGCAGAGCAGCTGGTATGTTCCAACCACCAACCTTTTGGTTAGCAGGTGAGCTCTTAACAATCGCATCACCAGAATTTCTTAAACTATAAACTAATAAATAAATAAATAACCCACTGCCATCAAGTCAATTCCAACTCATAGTGGCCCCTTTTGGGTTTCCAAGTCTGTAAATCTTTACGGAAGTATATTGCTTCATCTTCCTTCCTTGAAGGAGCTGGTGGATTTGAACAAACCACCTATTTAGCAGTCAAATGCCTTACCTAGTATGCTACCAGAGCTCCTAAATAAACTATAGTACATGCAAGTAATAGAATATTACTACGTTGTTGTTGTTGTTGTTATGTGCCATCGAGTCGGCCCCGACTCATAGCGACCCCTCCTTGGGTTTCCGAGGCAGTATCACTACGGAAGTAGGATTGCCCAACCTTCCTTCCGAGGAGTGGCTGGTGGGTTTGAACCGCCAGCCTTCTGGTTAGCAGTCAAGTGCCTTAGCCACTACGCTACCAGAACTCCCAGAATATTACTACAGCAAAGAAGAAAAAAAATGAGGAAACTATTTATCTTATGGAAGGACTGTCTGCATGGTTCAAACCATTACTGTGCTTGGCTGCTACCCAAAAGGTTAGTGGTTG